ATTCCTCCGGCAGAACCCTCATAGTTAGCTTCACATCCGCTTTCTAAATGTTCATCAAGTAATTCCTTATACTTTTCGCCATCTTTTTCTTTTATACGTAAAGAATTGAAAAGGTGGAGGTGGAACAAACTACTGTAAAAGGTGAGAAAAGCGTTCGATTGTGTATCGACCGACCTTCTACTAAATCAGTTAAAACTACTTGGTGTCGATGGGAGTCGTCTTAACTGGTTTTCATCTTATCTTACAAGGCGCACTCAGTTTGTCAAAATTGGTGAGAGCTTTTTCTCCTAGTTGCCGGTTCTCTCAGGGGTGCCAGAAGGATCCATCCTTGGCCCTTTAATTTTCATTTTATTTCTAAACGACTTTCATTCCTCCGGCAGAACCCTCATAGTTAGCTTCACATCCGCTTTCTAAATGTTCATCAAGTAATTCCTTATACTTTTCACCATCTTTTTCTTTTATGGCTAAAGAATTGAAAATGTAGAGGTGGAACAAAGTACTGTAAAAGGTGAGAAACTTTCTTGTTACCTAACAGACCACAACAAACAGAACCTTTGCGACTAAGAATCTCGTAGTCTACAAGAAAAAGGCACATAATCTTCAGTTCTTCCGCATGTAAAAGCAATTTCAGTGAAGTGAATCTCTAGAAACAACATAGCTTTGATTAGCATTATAAAGTAGAATATAAATAAATTTTGTGCTGGAGTTTCATGTGGTTGAATCACACCACTCATTGTGTCTTGTGTATCGACAGTCAATATAACAAGACACAGAATATAGTCCACGTCCATGTTCTACGCGTTCAGTTATTTTCAACAAGTATTAAATATTCGTTGTTTTATTCTACTCTCTTTGCTTTTTTGTAATGTCATACATTATGTTCACATGACAGCGTTAATCACGGTTAGAGCGAAAATAAAACTTGGTCATCCATATCCTCCGACTACCATGGCCCGAAGAGAAAGCCGGAAAGCCATGGTAGTGGAAAAAATTCCACTTAAAATTGAAGCCAAGAGTGACATGGGTGACTCTGTATCTCAAAAGCCAGACGCTATTTTTAAAAAATAGCTCAGCACGATGTCGAACATTTCTTCTTTCAGTTAAAGTGAATACCCTCTATTTAATTCCTATTTAACTGGTTAAGTTGAAGGATTTCCCATTAAAATTATAATGAGTAACATTTTCCTTGGGTAGAAGAGTAGATGAACATTTAGAATAAAAGATAAAATTCGTTCTTTATTTCGTTCTTTCGTTATATGAGTTAGATTGTACAACTTTGTACTCTATGTAACGGAGAACGAAAATTTGTTCCATTCTGTGCATATCAGCTTTTTCTCTTTCTGCCATTTAACCCTCCGGAGGTATCCGCATTTTATCACACGAGCGATGTATGTGGGTCCAAGTGGGCCAACATGTGGATAACTAAGGAAAACGTGACTTTTCATCTGTACTGTGCTATGTAAGATATTTTAATTCTTCATATGGTTCTTATGCATCATTAGACGACTAACCATTAGCGAAGAGATCGCTTCGAATTGCATAGATCTTAAAGTAGAAAAAAAACAGAAAACACTACTGTGGGTTTCCTTGGACCCACAAACACCGCGGGAGGGTTAAGCGAGAAAAAGAAAAATGTCTACACATCGACAGAAAAGAACAAATTTCCCTATGCGTGGAATGTAGTTCACGTCCACGTTTCTCGCGTTCAGTTCTTTTTGGTCGCTTCCCTTAATAAGGTGTACGCAACTCAAAAAGCAGCACTATCTTAACTTTCGGTCGAAAGTTACATAGTGGGATAGTCCTAACTGAGCTGATTCCGAATATCACCTTTTGATTCGAATTCGATCGGGTTTTCGAGGAGAAGTTCTCAAATACTATGAGCACTAATAGAACAAAAGATTTGCATCCCTCTGAGAAAACTTGAGATTTTGTCACCTTCCGTTCACTGTAACTTTTCGAATTCGATATATTCGGATTCACCAGCAAAAACTGAGTCTAATCGTGTACCTGTGGGTCACAAAAAAAAATATCTATGTTGCACAATTTTGACAAGGGTAAGCACTCGACAACATGAGCTACCTCTCTCGCAAACCTATCTCCTCCCTGGTTTTGAAACTTTTCTCCGATCGTCATACGTCATTCGAATCAGCATTTAAAGGCAAACAAAAGCATGCATCGCTTTTTCCAAAAAGATTTTTCCTCATGGAGATATGTTGAATTTGCTGAAAAAAGTGAGAGAATATTTTGGAAAAATCTTGCAGATGATGAGCCCCTAACTCAGCGATATTTTTACCTAGAGAACTTCTGTTATGCTTTTCTAGTAAAAAGCAATGCTGAATACGTTAGAAGTGCGTCTGAGAGATTTGGAGTTTTCCAAGTAGGTTTTGCAAAAAAACAGAACTCTGAGAAACCTTCAAATACCTTTTGGAAATCTTTTTGCCCCAAGCATCTCGTATCGACAGAGCGTCAAATTCTGAGCAAAATGAGACTTCCTCGAGCCTTCTAGTACATCTCCAGGCTGAGATAAGACCATATTACTTCCAGTGACCCGGCTGACTCGAAATCCTTCAAGAGATTTGCCAATAACTCAACCTAGAAAGACGCTGGAACGCTCGGGAAGGTGTCACTTTGCTCAGAACTCGATGTGCATTCAGATGCGATGCCTCATTAAGGGTCGAAGAGTAATGGCGGGGTTTACTGAAAAACCGACTCGCTGGAAATCTCTCAAAAAATCCCATTATCCTCGCGAGGCATCGTATCTGAATGTACATCGAGCTCTGAGCAAAATGAGACCTTCCCGAGCTTTCCAGTTTCTTTCCAGGCTGAGTTAGATCACAGTGAACGGAAGGTGGCAAAATCTCAAGTTTTCTCAGACGGATGCAAATCTTTGGTTCTATTGATGCTCATAGTATTTTGAGGATTTCTCCACGTACACTCGATCGAATTCGAATCAAAAGTGGATATCCGGACTCAGCTCAGCTAGGACTATCCCACTATGTAGCTTTCGACCGAAAGGTAAGATAGTGCTGCATTTTTGAATTGAGGGCACCTTATCTTATTATAGCTAGAATTTTCGCATAAAAGAGGAGAAGGACATATGTTTCATATGACTTTAGAAAAGATGCTTTTTTCGATTCCACGTCGGTCTTGGTCATCGATTAAGTCGTTAGAATAATCCCAGGTCAAAAACAACTGACATTCAATACATGGTCTGTTAACGAAATGGATAATTATAGAGTTTTAAATACAAAACAGTGGCCAGTTAACAGTTACTGTCCTTCGTCTGACCTTAAATGATGATCTAAAAACAAGCAATTAATTGTGTGTTAGTAAAGCTCAGATGTAAACAATCGTTAAATGGCATTTTATTGCCCGTTTTATGAACGTCACATAAACAGACAAAAACCTGTTGTCACCAAAATGCATGTCTTTTTCATTTTTTTCTCCACCGGTAAAAAGTACCCCTCTCTAGATATTTCGATATTTCGAAATATACCCTACTAGATATTTTTCGGTATTTACCATTTGTGCAGGTTCCTTTCTTCTGAGCTGGTTAGGTGTCTAGATATTTAGATATCCTCGTAAGGGTTTAGAACACTGTATGGGAGAAAGTTTTCATTGTGGTGTAAGATAGGGTTGGATGGCTGCTGAGTCCAAGGAATTGGTTTCAGCCAACCGGTTTAGGATGAAAAAGCGCTTCAGACCTCTTTCGGTTGATTTGTGTGATTGTACGCTTGGTTAAGTACATGTGACAGTATCTGAGTTGCTGAAGTCTGTGTGTTGAGTTCACAAAAAAAATAAGACGGTGCACTTCTGAATAATATTAAGAGATGTTTCATATAGCTTGGAGCCTCATCATAGTACAACAATGTATCGACATCGAGCACAATCTCAGAGTAAACTGTTTACACACATCTCTATGTGTATGAAAGATCGGGACTGTATTCCTAGTCGTATAATTACCTCTCATGCTCCTTGCCTCCTCCAATCTCTTTTGGCAAGTGGAGTCCACTTCCCTTTTCGTCGGCCATTGCGATCGCACGCCGGCTTATGCGCTTCAGTCACGATCTTCGTTGTCAGTCTGGTTTTGCTTTTCTTGTACGTTTTTGTCGCATATCAATCTTCTCACTTCGTTTTTTTTCATGCACGGGAAATATAAAATGTTTCTTTTTAAATATGATGTACATGACTAAAGTTTTGTCATCAAACTAACTAAATGGGTCTAAATATAACATTGGAGTTAGAAACTTACTGAGTGCGAAAGGAGAAAGCTTCTTTCTACCTCTAATCTTCGGGATGATCGCTGCTTTCTTCTGTATTCTGAATGTCAAAATAAAATTGTTATCAAATAATCATAATTCAATTAAAAAAAAGAAAACTCAGGTAACGGGTTTAGCATCGCACAATATCACCAGCATAGTAGATGATGATGATGCTAAGCAGTATTGTGCTGTGAAATTGAAGCGAATGTCCCACAGCAATATACTTATAACATCAAACAAGTCATTTGAATTAGAAACTGTGCTTTTCCCAACATTTCACGTACAAATTGCAGCTAAAGCAAAGAAATTCTCGAAAGAGTACGATTTTGACTCAAATCATATGAAATCGTACGACATGAAAACATATGGTTTATACCAAATGATTTTGTATGAGTCAGACTGTACGATTTCATACGAAATACCTAACCGGCATACAACCATATGGTTTGATATGGTTGTATGCTATAATCCTACTATAACCAATCATGTCGCTATGCATCATCGATACAATATAGTTCCATTTTGATATCAAACTTCATTGATCTAATTTTCTACAAATTAGTTGGGAGAACCTATCGTAGTGCGGTAGTCTTTGCTTTACAAACAATCTAAAATCTAAAATTAGCTTTGTATAACTATAACATTCACCTAATTTAAAAATGTTCGATTACGTTATGTATTCTGTTGCCTTTGTAGATTCTCTTACACTTCCAGTATCTCTCATTTTACGAGTATTTCATGAAAAGAATACGACCGATACAAAATCGGACATCCGAACATAAACAGCCTAATTCTCATCAGTTTCAATTTACTATTGAAGAAGCGAATGAAACCGATAATCAAACTACAACTGAGGTCGAAGTGTCATCATCAAATGATAGTTTAGAACAACAAAGTTTAACTTCAGAACAATTACAACAATTATTCAATCGAACTAGTTCTCAGCTGATTACAGAAACTTCGGATGAACAAGAGTTTTTTAAACGTGAAGCATCAATCAAAGCACCGAAAACAGGTGAAGTTATACAAACACCATTTCCACCTCTTCCACCTGATCGTAAAGAAGAATTAGATATTGACATTGAACAATTGAAACAAGTAGCTAAAGAAGCAGCAGGTCCGTTGAGTATTGAACGATATTCTCCTAGTGAAAGAGAAATTAATCATGTATTATCAACGGTTACGATGACATTTAATCAACCAATGATTGCTGTTTCATCATTGAATGAAGTAATGAATGTAGAAGATTTAGATATATCATTAACACCAAAAGTAGAAGGTCGATGGAGATGGACAGGAACGAAAACAGTTCAGTTTGAAGCGAAACATCGTTTACCATATTCAACAGAGTACACATTAAAAGTCAACAAAGAGCATTGTGTTTCAGCAATAGGAGGTAAATATATTTAAAAGCAACTAAGCGCATACAACAGTTAACACATTCACTGCCATATATGTCGAATCACTTATTCACATCATATATTTCAACATATGTGCCAGTGAATGTGTTAATAACTTTCTCTGAAGACGAGCTGTTCATGACTCGGTCTTCGTTTTATCACACAAAGAGATAAAAGATGAAGAGAATGTAGGAAATCTTAAAACAGTGTGCGGAGAGCTATTCTCATAAGGGCATCAAGTTAATGTCTATGCGTCGGTAAGAGAAGAGACAGAATACACAAAAGCAAGAAAGCGATACCATGAACGTGTCTTATAGAGGAAAATACGCATATGATGTTAGATTTTTTTATCTAATGAGGAGAATGAAATGGTTGTGCATAAAATAACATAGCTCGACGCAAGATTTAACAGCAAATGGTCAAAATGGCAAGGCTTATTCTTACTATGTACGCACAGAACTAAGGCGTTGAAAACACCCAGCTTTTTGTTGCAATTTAAAGTTAAAAGTATGGAAATCATATATCACAATTACGAAAAGTACAACTAAGCAAAAATAGTGTTTTAACAGCAGCCGTGCGTAAACTCATGTCAGTTTTATTTATTGTGATGCTTCGAAAACTTTTATTTTCAGTTTTAGATGTATAAAAAGAAGACAAATTTTGGAAGAACATTGAAATGAGTTTACATACGGTTGTTGTTAAAATAGTATTTTTACTTCGGTTATTACCCATTGAAAGCAACAAAGATATAGCTCTCAGTTATGCCCGTTCGCTAGCGTCCTCTGTCATAGGTAAAAAAGAACTAGTAGCCACACTCAATGCACAGGACTCCCTCGATGCACTGACAGGTGCAGTGAGCTGCATGGAAGAAAAGAGAAAAGTTGAATCGAGCATCGATCAATGCAATCAGATATCACTAGATACAGCACCTTTCTGAATAAAGAATGTAAACATAACGAATGATCTTATAAAATGATTACTGTATGTATCCGCTTTCCAACTGTAATTATACGTGATGTATATGTATTAGATAAATAGCTTATTACTTTTATACATTTATCACTCTAGCTTCCACAGCAGCCTTTTGTATCCGTACCGACATGAGATCTAAGAACATCGGAAGAGACGCCATAAGCATTACTTTGTCTATTATGAGCATTGGAGATACTTGATAGTGCTTCCTATTGATACACTAAGATATTTTCAATACTAGTCAAAGTCGTTCAATTTGGCTATACTTTGTGGACAAAGAGAGCTTTATTGTTTGTGTCAAGGACAAGAACGAGATGAAAGACAATGATGTCACCATTCTGACATCGTTCTCATGCATGAGTGTATACATACACATCTATCTTCAATACACTACACCAAACACAACAAACCCAGTAGCTGTTTAAGAAGAACGATACTTTTGAGAATATAACTTATTTTGATATTCTGACATCTCTACTCAAAGGTTCTACAGCTGTCAGAATGTCCGTACGACTGAGCATCCAGATTTGTAACGTGTATGGATAAGAAGAGGATATTGTTAATTCAAGGGTATTTTGCAGATGCTTTCGGAGGCATCACTTGGCAGCCCGATTAGACTCGAAATTTGTTGTAGGGACTTGTTTGAAGAATAATAGTAAGCCCACAGTTGCTAACAAACTTATAACGGCAAATATACAGCTACAAGAAAATGGTCATTAGTTGAGTGAAATCTGTTGTAACAAAATGGACAAGTGGTTTTGTAGATTCAAAGTTTGGCAGATGACGTACACAAACTATCGCATGATTAATTACACAGAATATGCGCAGATTCATTTAGAAATGTCAAACTAGTCACAGAAGAAGAAATAAAAACAGTGTGCAAATATCTCATCAAAGCATGATCATGTATTGCTTATCTAGTCTTCAGATGTTCTTAGATCTCGTGTGCGTACGGACATACAAGGCTGCTGTGGAAGTTTGAGTGATAAATGTATAAAAGTAATACGCTTTTTATCTAATACATATACGTAACGTATAATTACAGTTGGAAAGCAGATACATACCGTAATCGTATTATAACATCTCTAAATATAACTATGCATCTTGTGGAGGTCGATACAGCTAATTTCTTTTGATAGATACACTAGCAGATCCAGCTACATGCATTGACGTTTATTCAATGCACCTTCAGTGTTTAAGAGACGATTCGCTAACCCATCAAGAAATCAAGCCACGAGTGAAAAATTGACTTATACTTTTTATTTTATATTCGGATTCTACTATCAAAACTGGGGTTATGAAAAATATGAAAAAGCTTTCTGACTTATTCTGGCTGAGTTATCAAAATCTGAGTTCACAAAATGGGCACCATCGTCGATTTGCGAAAAGTAGCCATCTCTGATATTTTGACTATACCTCCGCCATTTTTTGTCCGTTTTCGTCGAGCAGCATCGCATTCGAAAGCCTGATAAAAGGTAAACAAAATCACGTAGTTCCTAGTTTTTCTGCAGTAGCAAGTGACTGTTTAAAATCCACATTTAGCTAAGAATTCGAAGATCACATGCGATAGAGAATTCAATTTTCCACAAACTGAGTAGAAAAGCTTTGTTTTAAAAGTGGTGCAAAAGTTCCAAAACCTGAAAACAAGATGGTCGACTTTCAGTTTTTTGAGATTTTAATCATCGAAACTACACTTAAAAGCAAAAGTAATGTGATATCTGGAATCAGCGTCAAAAACTGCATCACATGATTTGCCTTTGAAATCGTTAAGAGAAATGAAAAGTTTTGTCAAAATTTGCTCGGAAGCCGAACATAAAAAATCGAAAAATTGTCGAAATTATTTTATTTCTCTAAACGATTTCAAAGGCAATTATGTGATGC